CTGGGACTGCTGCCTGCAGGAACATCCTGGGCCAGCCGGGGAGGCTGGAGGAGACAGGCCCTGGACCCCCGTCCTAGGTCAGGAAGGTGCGGACACAGCTGTTGATGGACGCCCGGCAGATGGGGCACAGGTGCAGGTGGGGGGCACAGCGAGCACAGACCAGGTGACCACAGGGCACCAAGACAATGCCCACTGGGTGATCCAGGCACACCTTGTAGGTCCGCTCCTCCCGCAGCCTCCGCAGCTCCTCAGTGTCCTGGGCACCCGAGTCCTAGTTGCCCTGGCGGTTGGCATCGCTCCTCAGCATGGCCACTTCGGGGTACCCTTGGACAGGAGCAGAGTGGGCGGCGTCTCCTGGTGGGTCCCGTCCCTGGCTTGGGTATGAGGCCTCCACACTGTGCATGAAGCCCCTTCCTCTGGACCGCAGCAGGTACTCACACCTGGGGAACCACTTGCCATGCTCTGTCCAGGGGTCATCCCCATGCTCCCAGCTCTGCAGACCCCCACAGCAGAAAAAGCACCTCACCTTGTCCTGTGGTCTCGTGTGGAAGAAGCCTGCCTCGGCCAGCCATGCGGGGTGGACCAGAGAGGCCAGTGGCCAGTGGTGGAAGGAGGCCAGGCGCAGCTCCTGGGAGCCCATGCTGGGGAAGACAACGCCCAGGAGGCAGGCAGCTTCTTCCTCTTCTTCCTCCTCCTCCTCAGCTGCCAGGGAACGCAACTGGCCCAGGATCTGCCTGTCCACACTGTTCCAGCTCAGGCCCTGAGGGCACCCAGCATGGGGCGTGTGGTGTCCCTGCAAGGGGCTCAGCCCAGCGGCTCAGCAGCCACACTGACCCCTGTCTTGGGGAGCCATGGGGAGCACACCCGCCCCATACAAACAGCTCTCCAGCGTGTCCATCCAGCCCAGTCCAGGGCTCCAGAGCCCCTCCCAAGGCTCTCTGTCAGTCTCCACCCCCTGCAGCTGGGAGAGGGCGGGTACCAGCAACCTGTGCACCAGGGGCCCCAGGTCAGGCAGTGCCCCCTGGGCCAGTAGAGCAGCAGAGGCCCTCTGCAGCCTTCTGGGTGGGCTCAGGGTGGCAGCTGGCATCATGCAGAGGTGGTGCGTCCCCCCTAGGGTCCCCAGCAGGAAGCAGCCTCTCTGGGTATGGGGACAGGAAGACCCCTCCTGGGGCTGGGTGGCCTCCTTGTCCCCAGAGGACGGCAGGCGGGTGGGCCACAGGACCGCTGTTGAGAGATCCTCAGGTCTAGGGCCGGGCCCCAGGCACAGTCCAGGAGTCTGGGGCTTTGAATCCCAGAGCTGCTTAGGGCTGCAAGCCTGCCTCTTCCCCACTGTGAAGCCAGGGTTCCACCTCGGGCTGAGCAGACCAGAAGATAGGACAGATGGACGGATGGACAGACAAGGCCTGGCCAACGCTTGGCCAAGGAGGCTCTCTGGCTGGGCGGACCGGCTTTGTGACGTTTTTGTGACACAGCTGGCCGGGGGGCTGAGGCGGGGCGGCTGCGTGCAGTCCCGCCCTCTTTCACCGAGGCTGGGGGGATGGTGTAGTATTGGTTAAGCGCTAAGAGCCGCATGGTGGGCAGTTCAAAACCACCAGC